AACCATGTGCAGCCATTTCTTTGTTGCGCTCAAGTTCAACGTGTTTGCATGTTTCTATCCAATGCATCATTGGACCACCACTTCTTGCGCTTCTTGAGCCTGCTTTTCGGGGCTTGGACTGCCAAACTTCACCGCCTGAGGGTCCTTGCTTCGGCGAGGTGTGAAAAACACTGGACTGGCGGCCCACCATTGATCTACTCGCCGGGTCATCCCGAACAACCGTGGTTTTACGACGGGTACGAACCGGTTAATGGATATTCCACGGACCAGTGGCCCTGAGGGTCTTGGTCAATGTTGTCATGCTGGTGGCGCGGCTTCCTATTGCTGGTGGGATGCAGTACAGTTCCAGAACACCATCCAAGTCTCCCAAAGCCTTCTTGCTTGGGGGGAACCATCCTCGGCTTGGACCATCCGCCGCAAAATGCCTCGAGAACTCCAAGCACCCAAAGGTGTCACCCCATTCCTCCCCATGTCCGGCCTCGACCTCGCCCCTTTCAGCGCCCCACTCTGAACCGAAAGAGCGCCCCAAAACCGGCGAAGTTCGGAAGGCCTGACCCTGGACCCAACTGCTTCAGAGAGCTGAGTGTTTTTGTGAACTTCCAGGGACCAAACTTCCACCAACAGCTGCATGACCGAACTCTTTGGACCAAACCCGGCTGACGAACTGCCTGTTTGGGGAAGTCCATCGGTCGGGTGGGCGTCGACTCCAGCAGCTAGCGACCTCCTGACTGTGCTCCCCGATATATCGGTGCCACCGGTGCCAGCCAAAGACCTACGATACCTGGAAACCCAGTTCCAACCAGAAACAGTTCCGGTTGTTCCAAGATGGATTTCTAGAGATCCTTCACGTAAAACACGTGGTTGTTTGGAAAACATCCATCTATATATACATGGCGATTGGGGTTTGCATCATCTCGATGCTTTCTCCCCTTTAGGGGCCCAGGGGCCTACTCGGCCCCAGCTGGGAGATCTAGTCTCGAGGCTTCCTCATCAACACGAAGAATCCGATGAAGTGCCAAACACACACAGCCCGTCGCGCTGTGGGTTGGAAACCCTGAAGATCCGGGTCCGGAGCAACTCAGAAACTCCCCAAGATTCCTTGTGGATTCCCTACCAGCAGGGCCCCAACCTTCATCGGATTTGGACCATGCGAAATGCAGAAAGGTTCGACCATGGTCGAGCAGCGCCTGCTGGATCCTGCTGAATCCTTCTCCCTGGGAGTATGACGCGGGTCTGCCTCGGGGACCCGAGTCTAGGAGTGTCGTTTCCTTTGGGGTACATATTTATATATACGAACTGGACTTCTGTCTAGGGTTCTTGTTTTGTTTTCGTGAAAACCCCGTGAGAACTCCCATTCTTCCACAAATCTCCCGCCTACAACCCTTCACCCCCTTCACCTCCCTTCACCCAACCCCCGTGTCTCACCTCACCCCCTTCACCCCCGGAATCCCCTTCACCACCCTCGAGAACCACCGGGGCCCCCAGCATGACCTGAAGCTCCATCTTGGGCGCCCAGGTCTCCGGCACGACGAAGGCTTCACTGCGAGGAGCCTCGCGAGGAGCGGCCGCTCGGACGGACAGAGGCCAAGGCAGTGAGCACTCCGTTCCTCCGAGAAAAGCGTTTTTGGGGTGGATTGAAGGGCAGAAGTTTGTGATGTTTTGAGCCTGTTCAGCACCCGAGTTCTAAGTGGGTTTCTACTTTGACGCGAATCGCAACAGGCGTTATTACTTCGTGTTGTCCCTCCAAGAACCACCCAGTTCCTGTCCGTGGTTCTGGGTGCTAGGGATGTTTGGATCGGTTCTTTTGATGTGCTTGGAGATTTTTGAGATGGTCCATTGGGGTACCAACGGCCAGGTCAAGTTGCTCTTTCTTGTGGGAAAACCCGGGGTTCTAGTTCTAGTTCTGTCCGTTCTCCACCTGTTTGGGGTACCTCGGATCTCCTCACAGGCGAAGCGAAGCAACACCGCGCTATAATGCAGTACATGTTCATATGCCCTTGCAAAAGGGTCATGAAAACTGAAAGAAAAAAGAGTCCAAAGAACATGTCAAGGCTCTGCCATCACAACATCAACCCATTAAAAATCCATTACATGTCTTCACCCACAGCAGGAGAAACATGAATCCCCGCTCCCCACCATGCACCGATTTCGTGCCCTTTTCACCTCACCGAACCCGGCAGCCGGCCACGCGTCGAGAAGATCGTCGCCTCGTTGAGGATCTGGTGGAAGATCTGGTCGACCTGATCGAGCCACATCTTCAACCTGATCGAGCCAGTCGCGTCGCCACCGGCCACGGCACCGTCATCCAGAAAAGGGTGCCCGGAACCCGGTCGTGCCCGGTCAAAACTCTCCTGCCAGCTCCCCACTGCCAGGAAAGAAATGGATGGGAGGTGAGGGTGGATCTCCCACTCTCTGGGCCAACGATTTACATGTCTCAAAGATGTCACAAGCGAACTATACCATGGTAACAATCCAAGAGGTGGATGCATATAAGTAGCATAGGGTGTTGCTTTTCCTCACCCGTTTGAAGTTCCCGGTATGAATATAAAACATCATAAAACCCCGCGTTGATAGGAAAAGGATGAAAAACGCCTTATTTGGGAGAGTTGATCACCGGCGGTCACTCAGCTTCTATTAGTGTATACCCCAGTAGATCCAGCTACCACTTTATTACTTAAGAATACTTAACCAGTGTTTCCAAAGACTTCAGCCGTAGACATACCGTAGACCGAACGAGCACACCCCTGGTTCCGAGCACCTAGTGACTGCCTGGGATTCACACAGGTACTTGGAGTTGTTCCGGTAGTAGCGTCCGATCGCTCCGTTCGTAGCGATGCCAGGAGCCCCTAGTAGCGTCCGATCGCTCTTAGCAGTAAGGCCAGGAGCCCCTACTGAGAGTTCGTCCACTTCGCTCCCTCCTCCGCCCGGGCGGCCCGGCGGGCTCTCGCGGCCAATGGCATCGTAGAGGTTCCTCGGTCGCCGGAAGCGGCGGTGGGGTCGAAGGACATACCGTGGCGTCCCCCAGCATCGGTGCATACCGTGTGGGGTGCGAACGTATGAGGTCTGTATGGCAGCTTCGACCAACCTCAAGCCTGCCATTTCGGTCAGGCTTTCACCCAAAAGGACGTGGTCAAAGAATGTTCTGGTTCAATGACTGGTTCAATGGTGTTTGGTCTGAGAAAACCATCTGCTGCTCGGCGAGCAGCTGCCCTTTGGCCAGCGCAGAGCGGTTGGCCGCATCCGAGGGTACCGGTGGCCAGCCAGCGGCAATGGAACCCCCTGGCCGCGGTCAAGACACCTTGGACCTGACTTCAGTTGTACCTTAGAAAATGGATGAGAGTGGGACATGACCCTCATTATAACAAAAAAAGCAGGTACGACTGCCAGCAGTTCCATGTCGATGTGCCAAACGCATCTGAGACGGAGGAGAGGAAGAGGGGTGGCCCCTGGTCACATCCATTCACTTAAGGAAACATCTTACCCCTGTGTAACTTGTGGTGTACCCATTTTCCGAGGAACGAACAGGTCAACTCCAGGCATCATCCTTCGACCGTGGTCCGGCCATGGAGGCGTTCGAAAGGTGGTCGTGGGCCGGGGGTCGTTGGGTACCTGGCAGGGTACCTGGAGGGGTACCTGGTACCTGTTTCATGTCCAGTGATGTTCCATGTTTGATACTTTGGAGGCTCGACGCGGTTCTCTGGGGTGGTCACTTGGCAGTCAAAGTCTGGTAGGTTGACCTCCCTGAGAATCTATTCTGTTCGTGTTCAGTGGTCAACCAGGATACCTCGGAACTTTGACTCACTGCCACTTCACCACAGGAAAGCCATAACCGGCGAACTCGAAAAGGTCGGGCCTCCCTCTGGGTTCTGAAGCGCTGGTTCTGGTCTGCGCACTGACTGGTCATGTTTCCGCCAGCTGCGCAACATCCTTAGCTTAAAACTCGTGGATATGGACCTGACTTCAAGTACCCTAGAACATGTTGACCCTTTGCAAACGGGTACCCATTTTCCAAGCTACTTTTTAGTTGGAGTCACAGGTATACTTCTTGACATCCCGGCAAGCTCCCAGTTCCGCTCCGGTGCTTCGGCAGCTTCCCAAAATCGAAGCCCGGCGTTATCCCGCGCCAACCGCTCTTTCTCACCCAAGTGCACGGGCATGAAAACGATACAAAAAAAAAAAAAAAAACGCGGCCTCGTGCCAGAAGCGCCAGTGTGGCCATCTGATGTGAAAGCTGGACATCAGATTCACCCTCTTCCTGGAGCTCCTGGAGCCGCGCGAAGAAAGTTACGAACGGAACACAGGAGCGATCGGACGCTATGATCGGGGCGCTCCTGGCCTTACTGCTACTAACAAGAAGCTCCTAGTAGCAAGAAGCTACTAGGTTGGAGGCCATCGCTACGAACGTAGCAAGAAGCTATACTAGCTGACCGCGAGGTGTTCTAACGCTGCTTGACGCTGCTCGATGTGTATAGCGAACGTCGACCGGTCTGTAGAAGTGAAAAAGGGGCGCCAGCGAGGCGGACGGTGAACTCACGGTGCATCGTTCGCTTCGCGGCAAGCACTTCATCAAGAAAACACATGCAACGGGAAACAGCGAGGACCTCCGGGGAGGTCGGAAAGTTGAGGTGTCCAGCCCCTGGTGTCTCACCCCCCCCCACAAATGGCCACAACCGATCAGCGCCATCTGCACCATCCGCCTTTTCATTGATGCCCGAAAAGTTGTACAAACCATCACGTTCTGCAAAACAGAAAAGGAGAGGAGAGGGGGTTATCAGAGTGATGGGAGGCACTCATGGGTCCCGCCAAATAATCCATTAAAGAACCTGGACTGTTCAGTTGCTTCTTGTTTGGTGAGTTCGCGTGCATCCCCTGTCACCCCGTTTTGAAGCCTCCCTCATGTGCAGAGTGCTCTGCTCGGCGACAATCGAGCGAAGCCGGCACAGGTGGAGCTCTTCAAGGGCCAAGTTTTTTCCGGTACAAGCCTGAATCCCAATGCCCGTGGCTCAAAACCAGACCCAGCAATGAGATCTGTGCCTGACTACTTGGTTTGGATGCCCAGGTTTTCAGCCTGGCCACGGTTTTCAGACGTTCACACGTCAAAAGCAGGAATCGACTGGCGTTTTCAGCAGGTGAAGAGTCCGGACAACCACTGCCGCAACAGCAAGGTCTTGCTGTCCGACATCTAATGCACAAAACACTGCGGTATCTGACACTTTCTCCTCAATCGAGGGTCAAATTCCCTGGGCTGAGACAGCTTGAGAGCTGGCTTTCAACTCAGCACTCAGAGAGGAACTGGGGAAAAAGCGCGGGAGTCGACCTGCGCGAAACTAGGATAGTCTTCATCCACTGCTGGTTGGTGGTTCAACCCAAAACCGCGTCCGTTGGGATTCCCAGATTGAAATGGGAAATCAATGATCTATTCCAAAGATGTTCAAACCACAAACCAGACGCAATCTGCTGCACACAGAGAAGTTGACAGAAAAGTGATTCTTTTGGATCTTCTCTGCATCTTCGTGTGCAGCCTCCGAGATCTCCGAGTCCCCGGTGACTTCGGGTCAATGGCAGTCGCAGGGCATTCAGGCAAACCACGATGTCGCTGGTAACCAGTGGTTCCAAAGACTAAAACCATAGAATCCCTGGTTCCTTATATAGTGGTAACTGGGATCCACTGGGAGTTGTTTCAACATGTGCACTGTCGACACCTTGACTGCCCTGGATCGCTGGAGTGACGAGCGGACTCGGGCCACAGGCGGCGACTCGGACGGCCGAAGCAGCGGACCCGGTCGGCGCAGCTGACGCCCTCAGTCCGCTGGTGGAGCTCTTTGAGCTGGTCCGCTGGTTGAGCACCACATCCGAAGGAATTCGAACAAACGAAGTGCGGACGAAAGAGCTCACACGAACATGGAGGGCTGCCATCCTTTTCGGACTCCATGACCGAAGCGGCACGGCGGCACTGGACGACCTCACGTTTAAGGCCGGAGAGCTGATGCTCCAAAACAGGGGCCAGTCAGAATTCTCATGGCCTGGAAGTCCAAGACCATCTTTAAAATGGTAGTGTCAAATCCTTTGTAAAACAAGGGTTGTTCGGACTTTGGGCTATTAAATCAATGATGGCTCAAATCCATTCAAGGGTCTAGTACCCATGGAATTGTGTGCGTGAGTTCTTCATGTTCATGGTCTGTCAGCTTCTAGGTCCAGATCCGTGCCAACTTGCCGAGGACTCGGAGGCTTCCCCAGCTTCGCCCCATCTGCCGAGGAAACGCGGCCTGCGCAGGAAACGACGGTCACACTGGAGACCACGAGACCACACCCAGCATTGCTACCGAAGTGCAGAAAAATCCGCAAAAGTTCCCAAGAATGTTAGGTATTACCAGTAACAATGATGATGGTTAGTAAAGGCCTTATGAAAGCCTTATTCTCAAATGGTTTTCTAAAATCCAGCAGTCACACAGGCATGCGATCCATGGAGGTTTGGGGTGCCCAGCTACTCCACTCACTTAGGGACTAAAAACCACCCCTTTGTGACTCTGGATACTGATCCTGGTTTGCCCACTCTTGCCGACTGCGGCTCCTGAGACAGACCCGAATGTATCACTCACGGCTTCGGGCTTCGGGTCTAACGGACCATATGGATACCGCCAGATGCGAATCGCTCCCTTTTGAGCAACAGCTATATGGATCTCTTATGGATCTGGAAGGGTAGGGTCATGAAGAACCAAGCTTTTTGGGCCTCAGCTGCTCAAGCACCATGTTGCACGTTCTTAGGTATTTTGCTCGCCGCGCCTCCTCAGCATAATCCTCACCAAAAGTTCGAATGCGTTTCTGCTCCACGCTTTGGGTAAACTTCTTTGGCCGAAGGGCCATGCGTCGTAGGAACCTGGCGATGGACTCGGGCACATGCCCTCCGGATCAACTGCTTTCTGGACACCATGTCACCATGCTCAAGAGCATGCCAGAAACCATCACGAAAAGACTGTCAAAGGCCTTGTCAAGAAAACTCGGAGGAACACCAATAGCCATAGCTAAAGTGACTGCTTGATCAAATCAGACATCCAAGTTCCCTTGCCCTTGCCCTTCGGGTTCCTTGCCTCTCGAGATCTTTCACATGTGCTTCATGGTCTTGAATGTCGGGTGGTAAGTTCACACCCCTCGGCGCGACCGTCTGAAGTCGGCGCCAAGACGACCTCGCGGTGGGAACACCACCGTGTCGAGTGCGAAGGGAAAGCATTGGGCCAGTTTCTTCGGATGGGAACGCCCAGGCGGAGTACTTTCAGAAGTGACTGTCTCTGATCAAACAGCCGGCAGAGAAGTCCAAACCCCGCTTGGTGGGACTGAAAACCACGACCTGAGCCCTTCTACCCTTCGACCATGTCCGTCCAAGGTCTTCGGAGTCGATTCGGCCACCCAGTGTCCCGTCTTCAGACCGCCTTGCGACCCTAGCCTGCTGGCCTTCATCACACTGAAGTAGAAGGCCCGGTTTAAGAGGATTGATTGGCGTGCAGGGCTCAGGGCTAGTGGAATCAGTCATCCGCATGGGCATCATCATGACAATGAATCATGAGTCGTTGGCACCGTCGCATATGTTCCATGTCGACATCGTCATTCTGGTTCTTTTGTATACGGTTTGAGTGTCCAGGCCAGGCGATCCAGGAGTCTAGAACGACCCCACCGAACGCGAAATCAAGGAGTTTGTGCAGGGTCTTAGTTTCGCCGATGAAACGAACAAATTTCCCTGCCAGGAGTTTGAATGTATATTATATATATATAGGTTGGTTCAGTCAAAGCCAAAAGTACTGTGTGTCCTCCGGTTCAAAGTGCGCGGCGTGAGCTGTTCTACCCTCTCAAAATGTTCCTTCCCACAGGAGATCACGACCTGCAAAATCTGAGGCCTTGGCCTTCAAAGCGCCCTGCAAAATGGCACCAAAAGAATCCATCAACAGTATAGGTTGGGTCTATCCTACCTGTAACAGTGGATGATGGTTCAGTTGCAGGCCTTGTCCAAACATCGTGATTTGCGAACCTGGGTCCTGTTACAGGTAAGCCCAGAACGGACAGGTCAATCGGACCAGGTCAGTCGGACCAAGTAAGTCGGACCAGGTCAGTCGGCATCCAAGAGTTGCACTGCCGGCTCGGTTGCTCCTTATAAAGCTGGAGAAAGAATTGGGGGTCTCCCCCACTCCAGCGCTCCTTATAAAGCTCCCTCCAACAAGCAGTTGGTTTTTGTTGTGAGGGTCCATGATGCCCATGTCCACTCTCCAGCTGGTCGAATCGGAGAATCGGGTTCCGAGGCACGACTCTCTCCTCAGCACCTCCCATTCGCTCGGAAGGACACCCTCGCGAGCCGCGCTGGATCTGACGTCAGCAAAGTCGGGAGCCACCTGTTCAGAGGGATCTGTCCGGAGTCCCTAGGAGTCAAAGCGGCCAAAAGAATGCTCTGACGCAATGGGTTTCCTTTGCTTCACAAAGTTCCTACGTCGAGTCGAACTGGTTCGGACCCCTGGCATCCTGAGTCACCTCTTGTTCTTGTTGTCCCCACCCTGCACCGAAAGCTTTCGGAACGTTGATGGCAAGCAGAGGTGCTGAGGAGGTCTGAACATGTCAGAACAATGTCTCGGCAAAATGAGGTGTGCAAGATGTTCCCACACACGTCCCGAGCCGCCACCGGACATGATTGTTGGTCGTCTACACTCCGAGTCACTGACGCAGTGAAAAAAGAACACCGGCTTGCAGAGGAAAATGGTCATTCATTTCGGGGCCGTGGACCTCCACTTCCGGGAGTGCTGTGTCCACTTGTATCTGTAGGACCCACCCTAGTGTGACAACTGCAGCGCATCAGCCACAATGACATGACCGCAACAGCAGACAACAAATCATAGCAATGACAACACGTTAATAATTATAAGTACAACAGAAGAGAAGCAATGACGCCGGGGCATAATCCGATAGTTTTTTTGCAACACCAACAAGAGACAAGAAGAAATGACTCTACAACATCCCTCCAGCGGCCCAGCCCAGTGGGATGCCGTGGTCCCGCCAGTGGCCCGACGTGACAGACAACAAACATTGACACGCATGGCAATACCGAGCATAACCACAACACACACCGTGACGTTCGACATCTCTCTTGGGGCGCCTTCCTATCTCGTTGAAACAGGACAAGAGGAACTTGACACACCGGGACAAACACGAACACGACAGCAAAAATAAAAACCAAACGTAACCACAACACATCGAGGCCCAGGGACGTTTCTCCAGTAAATGCGACCCAATTGTCCTGGTGTATCTGGGTGGGTGGAGATAAGAAAGGAATAGTATCCTTTTTTGGATTTTTTTGGCGACCTTGGAAGTCCAATGTCCTTCTCCTTGACACTTTCAGTTTTCGTTCCTCACTTCAACTTGCTCTAGATTGGGATTGGTCCTCAAAAACCACGATATAGAACATCTGCGAAAGGGGACAGCTCACCCCTCGTGTGCGCTGGCATCACCCCAATTCGGCTCGTGTGGGGTCGAGTGAGCCGAAGTGGCACTCTCACTCACTCACCACCGCCACCATCACGATCCCCCCCACCTTCATCACCGCCATCACCTGTCTGGACCCCAATGCGTCTAGATCTCTGGACTTCTGCTTATAGACCTCTCACACACTGTTTGGGGTCTCTTGCCGGGATAGTTTAATCTGGTTTTTATCAGGTTGTTATCTGGTCAGGGCTGTGTAGGAATCAGACTTCCCCATCCATTGCGCGCCTTGGCATTGGAAGAACCCATTGATCTGTGTCACTGGACACAGACAAATGTCCGGACCGAGACCCGAAAGAAAAAAGAACAGCTCGAGCCAAAGGTTGCGTGAGAAGAAAGACAGGGAGACAAAACTTATTGCGCCCGAGGTTGAAAGCCATTCGACGCGAGCCACATGGTGTATGCCAATGCCAGTCAATGTGCATTCAGTTGTTCGCGCGAAACGCATGCAGCCTGCAGAATCAACCACAATGCAACGCCCTTCTAGCAACTCCATCTAGTACTCAGCCGAGCCTGCTCGTCACAGGTCTCAACGGCAGGCATGATATTTTTCAGCATCCTAAAGAGAGAGGGATCCTTTGGATCCCTGTTCTTGAGGTCTGTATACGGGTTGTGGCCTGGCGCCATGGCCATTCTGAAATCAGACATGTGTTCTGGTCTCCTATTTCTCCTAACCATCCAACCATCTCGTCCCACCCAACCATCTCTTCCCGGCCGTCGGCCCCGGCGTTTCATCTCCCCGATCCTTGCCCCAGCGGGCCAGCTTCAGATGGAAGAGCCGTGTGAGCAAACCACCCAACGACTCCTGGGCGGACTCGGGCCGCCAGAGGTGGACACCATCCAGAGTGGATGGGCCCTCGTGGATGGGCCGGTTTCCGAGGTACATCCGAAACACTCATGACTTTCAGGGAGTGTAGGGCCCTGCCTTTGAAATGGATGGATCCCGTCAGCCGCGATGTGCGATCAGAAAATCCGTCCGTTTTTCCCGGTTTCCACCCAGGGGTTCAATGACACAGAACACCTGGGTGGAGAATGAGCATGTTTGAGCCATCTGTACGTATATCATGGTATATCCAAATGTCAATGTCTGCCGTGACTCCCTCTGACTCTGACATTCTGGACCTACCTGACCGAACAAGGGGAGGGGGGTCTCCATTCTGAGACCACCCGCATCTCCCTCAACTCCACCCTCAATTGGATGGAAAATGGAGACTCCTTTGCTGTGATCGCTGCGACTTGAAACATGAAAAACGGGGCGAGGCGAGGCCAACGGTGGGTCTCTATTCAGTGCTGGACCACCTGGTGGACTCATGACCCTACTTATATTGGATGTGAGTCTTTTTGGCGGATTGCTGCCAAATGGCGCCCGAATGGCACCCGAGGATCTCTATGGTTCCTCACGCGTCCCCTCGGAACGAGGGGGGGTTTTGAGAGGGGTGGCTCCATGAGACCCAAATCCCGACTCGAACAAATGGAACACGGAACAGTTCGGTTTGCTGGAAGAGCCATTGTCCTTTACAGTTCGGGGGGCTGCTCAGCTTCCATGATTGTGTGAGGGAGGCTGCTCAGCTTCCATGCTGTTTCACCGAGAGGGTCTCATGATTTCAGAAGAAGAGTTCCTGGCCCGAAGTCTGACGTCCTGGCCCCTGGGCTGTCTGACAGGGAGAAGCTTTACAGTAGACTTTAGAAAGTCACTCAAACTCCCAAAAAACTGACCCGAATGCCACGGCTTTCTCAGATGGACACTGGCAAAAATCACATCAAAACCACCTTCTCAGAGGGTCGTCCTTTGCTGTTTTTTTTTCAGGGCGTCCCTTGCAATCCGCTTCGTTTCTTTGGACTCCGCAACAGCTGTCCGTGACATTCACGTCATTGAGCTTCAACTCCAGCTGGCCTAAAAGCACCTCAGTCGATGCCACACGAAATAGAGGGACCCCACACCCGATGGCCCAAAGGGGTTAACTCATGTTAACTCCAGTGAGAGATCCAAGGAGGTGCGGTGGTGAGACTCCTCCGGGGGACCGACAGATGGACCGACGGACCGACGGACCGACCCAGATGGTCACCCGGACCGAGTCGTTTTGGCACGATCCGCATCTCGGTCATGACCCCAGGTCGGTCAAGGACCTCATGTGAAATGAAAACGACAAAAATGGTGCATACATATATATATATATACACCCTGACTTGGGGGTCCTTGAACATTCTATCTTTCAGTCCGTTGCGTTTTTAAATGGCCAGATTATATAAGTTGGAGTTCTTCAGATTTCTGGATTTGGGGTGCCAACAATCGGTGTTTTTGTTAAATTGCCCCTGCCAAACCTTGGCCGACTCTACCCAGAACATACCGTGACAAGTCCATTCTATATATTCAGATCACCTACACATGGATGTTATTTAAAATGACCACTTCATGTCTGGGCCAGGGCCTATGATTTTCCCTAACTAGCCCCATTACCCAATGTATAAATGATGACCCGTTTGGTCATTTTATATTGTCAAAGGATGCCATGTCGTAAAGGCACAAAGTAAGGGGGATGTGTATACCATAAAATCCTAGCCCCAAAAAATAGACAACATCAATTGATATATGGGATGTTATCTGATCTTAGGGACCCACCTTTCATTGGCATTCGTATCGACCTCGTCGTTTCACAGCTATAGAGCTGCTCCATTTCAGTAGTCCTTCGGACCAGCTTGCTTCCTTGCTCCGAGCAGTCGCCGGCCGATCGATGGCGCAAGCAGCACGTGGCTCGTTCGCCTGCGGCAGCCTTCCTTTCCTTCAGACCGTCTGTGACCGACCCGAGGAAACACGAAACCCTCCGGCCAAGGGACCATGTAGAGAAAGACGAAGCCCAGCGAACGGTTCACACCGCTCTCATCGTCCTGAGAGACTGGTTCACAGAAGCCGAAGCCTTCGTGGTTCTGGGGACAGTCCATCCACCGGGTCGGTTGGAAAAAGCCTCGGCCAAAGCAGCGAAAAGGAAAAGAGGGTTTTCAGGTGCTCTGCTGGGATAGGAACGAGTAGGAACAGGCTGTTTGGAGAGCAGATTTGGAGAAAACCCACTAACTCCTTTGCGTGTCCAGAGTCCCAGGACTTGTCAGTCGAAACACAGATCTTAGAGGGAGTCATTCATCCACTTTTTTGACCCGCTTGGGGCTTGAGGAACGCTGCTAGGACCTCACTCCTGGTCGTGTCATGGGGAAGAACTCGGGGAGACTTCCCCAGTGACGCGCCCGGGTCTGTACGGGAGGCATGCGTTCCCTCAACGAGAGAGGCTTGGAGAGTTTCTAGGCTGGCTGAGCTGTAAACCTCTCTGCCAAGTCCTCAACACTGCAATCTGTTTTTTGATGAATTCGTCTTCGCATTCATCACCAGCTGTGTGCTCTCCATGAAACCACCTCGTGTCCAAACAAGCTTTCCAGTGTGGTCTCTAAAACGCGTTCTGCCGGCGTTCTCCCGGTTTTCTCACGTCTTCTCAAGGCCCGCTGCCGATGGTTTCGTCGCTCTGCGAAAAGACTCACGTCCTGGAGCAGCTCGTCGGTCCAAATCATCTTCACCAAGGCCTCCCCGTCCACCTGCGGAGTGAGTGGCGGCTGAGTGTTCGTGGCTGAGCGGTCCCAACCCTGCATCGAAAAACGCAGGGGAAGACATCTGTGGTCAAGGCCCCCAAGTGACATGTGCCTTACACTTGGGCGTTTCAACTTGTTCAAACCCTCGTTGAAAAAGGATAAAAGGCTGGCTCCACTGCAAATCGTCAAATGGTCCTGCACATGGGGACAAAACAAATAATTTTTACAGCCTCAACTTGCCAGAAGCCACGAAAGCATGTGAGACACCCAGGCCAAGAAAAGTTCTGAAGCCTGACCTTGCACCAATCATCTCCACAGGACAGCGGCCCGCGGTATCCCGCTGTGCAGCCTCTGTTGGCCCGCCTGTTGAGGCCATTCTTGATTGACACTGCCCTCAGGAAGCTGTGGATGCCTGCTGAAGCTGTGGATGCGCAGGCAGTGAGCGAAGCAGGGCTGCTTGGCCGAAGCCCTCAACCGTTACTCCTTGGTTCATAGCTATAGATGGGAGGAATACACACTCAGGAGTTCCAATCCAGGCCCAAAGTGAGTGGGATATCTTATTTGGCACCCCGAAAACCCTCCAAGAACCATCCCTGGGATGAAGACCTTTTCAGTCAATTAGAAGTCCTCCACCCCATAATCGAAGGTTTGTCCCTCCACCCGAACATCAAGACATAGACGTGAGAGACTTCTTTGAAGAACTGCTTGGATGGGGGGCCATGGGCCTGCCAGAAGATTTCTTCAGGAGAACGCCACATCATCCAGCAGGGGGGTTGGGGAACTCCTGCTGCCGCTCCGTGGTCCCCTCCCATTTCATGGGGAAGAACTGGGTCTCCCTCCAGTGACGCGTCCGGGTCTCAACCACAGTCTCACAGTGCTTTCAGAGTAGGTGGCAAAATCCCCCGAGTTCGGAGGTCGACAGACCCGCAGCTGTCGGTGGGGCCATTGAGCGAAGCCATCAAACGGCGAACTGGGCTGCTCCAGGCAGCAACGAATCGTGTTCACGTGTTCACCCACGGCCGGCCTAAGAGGCCATGTGAAGGTGCTGTAAAGAGAGGAGCATTCCCAAAGACCACAGAAATAGGGTTTGTCATACTGGATGATAATAGTAATAGTATGTAATACTTGGTAAAGAAATGTAATAAAGGGCCCAGGGCTGGTCCAACAACTGCGATAGTGATAGTTGTTACGGACTCTTATTCATACTGATACACACCCAAAACTACCACAGTCACATACAGTCACCCTCCTGACATCCCCAGAACGATCGAACATCGAAGGTCGACCTTCCCGTGTTGAGCAGTCGAACGGAAGGCGAACGGACAAAGGTGGGGAAAGATTGGTACACCTTGAAGTTCCAGGGTTTGCGCGCTCGGCAGTGGACAAAGTGTGGGGATGCTGGATGAAATCGTTCGGCGAGATTCTAAGACTCGCGCCGGTGAAGGGGTAAAATCGTTCGGTGGGTGGGCCCGACGTTGCTGGTAGTTTTGGGTGGCATTCCCAGAAAGACCGGAAGAAAAGGCCACTGCCAGCACCACGGATTCGGGTGTCCGTGAATAGCCCCTTGGGGGGCAAGGGGTGTCGATTAACCACCCCTTGGAGGTCCTGGTGTGGAGTTGGTTGAGAGATCATTGAGGTTTGAAGCTCTTTCGGCAAGCAGCCTTTTTCAAACAACGACTTTGAGGTTCTCAGATTGAAGGACGCCGACGTCCCTTGTGAGTCTAGTGTGGTTTCTCACGACTGCTGGCTGCTGTGCTTAAAAATGTGTCGGTTTCCCAACAGTCGCCATGGCCCACATATCCCCACATGTTGGACAAGACTTGAGTTGCCAGAAGGACCCTCACCCCCCATGGGGGCACGGGCATGGCATACCACCAGGATCTTCGTTCTCATTCCCCGGATCACTTTCGTCCAAGCCCGAATAGAAAAACCGAGAATCGAAGAGCATCAAAAGATTCTGAACCTGCACCCCATAGGTATCCAGGTATTCTCAACACCCTCAACACCTCGGATCACTCGGCGGGAGACGTACTTAGCCAGAGAAAGCCGAGAGCCGAGAGATTCCCTTTGAATCTGATGCAACCCTAGGGCTCCAACTACCTTGTCAGAAGGTAGTTAGACCCCCCTAATTCACCCCAAGCACCGGAGGTAGGACTGGAGCGCTATGGGGAAGTGCATGACTACCATGACTAAGTGTGACCCGCGCACCAAAAAAGACGGCGTACGAAACAGGCGGAAGGCGGGGCCACTGTTCCCAGTCGAAAGTGTTGTTGCCAGCACCACAGAGCTTTCTTGGTGGGTTTTGTTTGACACCTGAGATATGTATGTTCCCTCCCAAAACCCACCCGAAATCCGTGGTGCTGCTGGAGATTCCTCACCTCGACCACCCCAACCACCCGAAATCCACCCCAACCCTTCCCACCGCTTGATGTGCCTGAACTGCAAGCGCCTCACATGTGTGGCACGCCGGAGCTCTTCACGAGGAAGCAAGTTGAGGCGACTCCAGGGCTGCCCTGGCGACCGACCGAGACTGGGACCTCGGCAATGAGAGGGGCATCCGGTTCCTTCAGGACGGAAAGAAGAGCTCATACCCATGATGTTGGATGAATGCGAAAATCATGGGTGCGTTGTTTGTGGTCAAACCCTCACCTTGGAATCCTCTGGAAGCATCCGCATCATCCCCTTCAGAAAAGCATTTCCAAGCCAGCCCCGCAGGCCAACAAGCTCTGGGTTGCACCTAAAACACCTGGCAAAGGGGAGTTTTCACCGCATACAAGAGCTTGAAGGTGGAGCTTGGACGCGTTGCCAGGCAATAGTGCGTCTGGATGTTGATGTTGGCCATGTACATGTATATTATATATATATATGAGAGAGAGAGAGAGAGTCAGAGTGAGTGAGAGAGAGAGAGATCATGAGAGGTTCTGTATTTATGATTATATTACGTATGTGCAAGTTAAATATATAGTTAAATGCCGATTGAAACCGCCGACCGCATTGCTGCAAACGCCGTTGCTGGCTAAAGCTGTAAAGTCTCTGGCTCTGCACGGCTTGACACAAAAGTTCCACCTTTATATACTGTAAATGCCAGTTTGAACTAGCAAGGTCAAAGGGTCTGGCACCTGAAAGGCCAACTGAAATCCACCTGAAATGCCAACCACTTCAAGAAAAGGTCGGTCTGCTCGCCTTTCTGCTCGCCTTCTTACGACCGGCCCCGCTCGCCTCCATGAAGGGCGGGATCCGCTCGTAGAGTCACATGCACTTGGCCCCTAGCGGAGCGGCGACGTCGCCACGTGGTCGACGCGAGGTCCGGACTCGAAGAGTTCTGCTACGAACGTCACAAGAAGCTATATAAAGTAGTAACTCAAGGGCTTCGCGACTCGAAGGGAGCGATCGAACGACTAAACGTAGCTCCTGGCCTTACGAACGTAACAAGAGGACGCGAACCGAACGTCACATTTGACCCATGGTCCGAGCTTCGCTCCGTCTACCAGCGCCTGGCTTTGCCGGCGAGATACTCCAAGCGCGCCTGGGCGAAAGAACCCCTTTTCTGCTGCCGAAGTGGCACATGACTCGAACACAAACAACAGTTGTGTTGTCACTGGTTGTATTGTTGAGGATGGCTTTGGAGAATTAAACAGGTGAATATAAGGTAAAGAAAAGGTATCTGCAAAAGCTGGTGTCCCATGTTCTGCGAGCCTTCCACTCAGTCCTTTCCAAGACTGGTGAAGCTGGTGAAGACTGGTGTAAAATCTTCAGTAAAAACACTGGGGAAATCCATGGCAGGCCAGGAAGCCTCGAGGGTAAGGTACTTTGTTGAGACTGCCAAGTGTGGGGTCGGAAGGGAAACTACCTGACACTACAGGGTCAGTTTGACCTCATTTTGTATATATATATATATACACCCTGGGAGTCCAAGACCGTTTTTAAAACGGTCCTTAGGTGATCCGAAAAGGAATTTCCTTTACTTGGGTAGTGCCGAAAGTAGTCTTTGGACTTCTATAGGGTACATACAATCACCCTGTGAGTTAGCCAGGATAGGTTGTGCATGGTTGTGCTAAGCATTCTGTAGTTATAATACAAAAAGTCGTTCCCCATAGGCCTACAGAATGAAAAAAAAACGGGCAAAAAAACCGAGTCTCTACAAAATGCGTAGCACGCAAGCCAAAAACGGGCATTTGGGGACAGGGTCTCCCAAGTCTTTCATACCCCCTCTCATCTTGGAACAAGGAGTCAACTTCGACAGCGACGTACCCCGTGGCGCGGTCCGGACGGACCATCGGCGCCTTGACCCGGCGGGTGGAAGACTTGCAGAGCCGCAGGAGCTGCAGCTCCTCTGAAGACAAGGAGGTGCATCTGTGGATCTCCATAGGGGTTGGCTTGGTTAACCAGGATGAAGCAAGTCCAGAGAAGGAAGACAACATGGGCACAGAACTCGGCATCTAACTGCTGTGGTGGTTGAGTTGTTTTTTTTTCGATTTCGCTGATCAGGTTTTTCGTCACAGCTGCTCGCGCGTATCAGTCCCCAGTCGGTCTCCAATCGTTTGCTCACCGGTGTCGGCAAGGGGTGACATGTCGGCAAGCTGATCGGCAGCTGAGGGAGTGGGAAACTTTGGAAAGCAGAACTTCATCATCCGTCCTCTTCCTCATTCAACCAAAGGCCGCGACTCACATGATGCCGCTTCGCGAGGTATTGGTCCTCGGGAATACAGATGAATACGGAGCGGCTCTTTCACCATGAAGGAATGGATGGTTGGACCTAGGTTGCTCTTCTTACACTTGAGATCATGTCCACCACCTGATAGAAGCTTCAACTATCCACCACCCCAGTCTGACTCCCTCTTTGCCACTGGAACATCTCCAGTCTGATGATCAGAGCATCACCTACATCAGTCTGAGTTGAACGCATCACCGTACCTTAGAGAGGTGGATCCACAGGTGGCAGTGGATCCACATCTTCCACTCCGATCATCAGGTGGCGCCACATCGCCGGTGGGCAGAAGGACAGATCGAGATGTATCGTTGTTTTAATGGATGGTTTTTAATTTAGGGCGGCTTCCCCCCAATATGGACCCGAACTTGAGAAGTTGGGAATCCTTTTTGAGGGGGTCCATGCGCTTTGCTTGGTTGAAAGCGGGAAGGCTTTGTTCATTCGATGGCGAACTCGGCGTAGTGGTGAGTCCAAAAAGAATCTGTTGTGAGACAATCAAAAAGAATCTCGGAAACCAAGCAAATCCTCCATTGTTGCAAGATCAGCAAGGCAGTACGGTGGCGGCACATAGGTCCCTAGGTGACTCGAGAGGAGGCCTGTGATGTCAAGTGCTGCTTGGTGCATGTCACGTATCCCTTTTTGGTAAATTCCGCCATGTGGTGCTGAACATCCAACAGATTTAAGCTTAAAGGCCTTGATTCGTTGTCTTGCATCGCACCGTGATGCAAACCCCACAGCATAGCCTCTGGTCATCCAAGTCACTAGTTCCAAATGCAGCTCCATGGGCATGCTCACATCTTCTACGAAGGCCACGCTCAAAGCCAACTTGCAACGCACAGCATGAGCGTCCGGATGTTGATCCTCCAGGCTGTTCGCGAACCTCGGTTCGCTGTGATGCCTGTTCGAAAAAAAACGCGTCGGGTAACGCCTGAAAAGCAAGTCTTGGAGAGTGTCTTGGAATTCGGACCCCACCAACACATCCTAATGCACTGTGACTGCTCACCCCACTCAACTCCCCACGGTCAAGATGTCTTTCGAACTACTTGCCCGTTTTTGTTGAAGGCTCTATGGCTGCCCAGCAATGCAACCAAAAAAAACATGAGGGTGACTTTGCCGTGTGGAAGTGTTCATTGGCCAATCCCAGTCGCCACCTTTTTTACCAGACCATCGCCAAGAAAATCTGATGCACCTTTCATGTGCATGGGGCCTGGCAGGATTCTGGTCCCAAACTGCCTGACTGAAGGACGCTCCCAAATGGACCGCTCGGGCCGTGGCTGATTGAAGACCCACTTCTCCTCCGCCAGGAGCGGCACATCAGTCCAGCAATTGTCCTGTCTGAAGCTGCATGAAGCTCAACGAGCAGGGCCCAAGGAGGAACCCGACCTACAGGGCACTTTGTTCTAGAGCCGAGGATTTGTATATACCTGGAACCCAACTGACCCGTGTTTTGATAGGAAAAGGTCATATTTTGCGTTGTTGGTGGTCCAAAATAGAGGTCATTCAGGTTCTAGGTGTATACATATAGAGTAGGGTGGCCCAAAAAACCGCTCTACACTACAGGCACCCTACTTCGCACTGACCAACGAGCAAAGCCAACCAGCCAGCTGATTAGTCAGCCAGCCAAGGATTTGTTGCCTCTTGCTTACCTGTGTCACCAACCTCGAAAGGGCCCCTTGTCGGACTGGCTAGATGGAACTGGAGAACTTGAGAAGTAAGTCTTTCTTGAAGTGGCGAGTTTTCTATTGTCAAAAGTGGCCATTGGTCGTACCCTGTCGATCTAGCTACCAATCAATTACGTGAAAAACCACCTATCAAGTCGGCAGACCCTCCGCGCAGGATTCTGCTGCGGCTCAAAAAAGGGTTGGTCGCTCGCTGCGTTCACCTTGTTCCAAGCTCACGATGTTCACAAGTGTTATTCTTTGGGCCTCCCTGGCCTTGGGTCCCCCCTGTGGTCTTGAATGAACACTTGTACTGTTTTCCTGGAAACTCCAGGCTCAAATGCGGGCCCAGTCGGAGTATGATCGAAATGAAAGAAGGAAGAATAGAAAGAGATATTGAACATGCACGTGCGTTTGGTGTATGCCAATAAAAGTGATGAGAACATGTGAGAACTTCAGGGTCCTTCCAGGGTTTCCTATTTCAATTGACCGAAGATATGTAGTGATAGACGCATATCAACTCTAATTGCCCTGTGAAAGAAACAACCATGTGACTCTCTTTGGCCTCTTTGGCCTGAAACATTGGGGGAGACCCGATCCGGTCGACCGGGTGGATTGTAAAGACTTCTGGTGGATTGTGCTACTCACAAAGGTAACACACCCGTCAAACCTGCAGATTTAACCCCCTCACATCATGTGTCACAGCTGATCGATTGAAGATCTACTCCGCACGGGTCCAAATCATAAAGGCTGGTGAAAAAAACAAAAAACATCTCCACACAAATGGATTCATCATATTGGAGACTTGTATTAATCAACGGTCTACATTGAGTCTACATTCAGTCTACATTCACTTCTTTGCCTGTAGGAATCTGTAGAAGCACTGAAAAAAACATCTGTTGGTTCAAGGAGTTGCAGGGCGGAAGGGGTTGTTTAGTTGATACCAACTGTTGGGCGCTCTCTCCGGGGCCCAGTCCAGCTCGGCGAAGGCTTTGGCATAGTCGCGACTCAGCAGGCAAAGCAGCGACAAGTACAGCGACGCAGCCAAGCTCGTCGCCTGAAAAACCCGTTTGCACTCGCCGTTGGCGGCCGGTTCGCGGCGGTACTAGAGCGGAACCCGCGAGCGACAGCTGTGCGGTCTGCGGTTCTGGCCCCCGTTTTCGCAGCATGCGTTTTGGTTGGGAGGTCCAAGAATGGGCTCCCATCTCACTGAATTTGGAGATGACCATGTCTGACTCTGAGACCCTGAAGTGAAAAGAACATGCTTACCAGCTGTTCGAAGAAATGGTTTTTGGTCCCATGGAACTCGGAGCGGAGAGTCCGTTGACAGGGGCGCTCCGAGTTCCGTCGGCACGGGCACCATCACCCCGACTTGTTCACTGCTCGTCTGTGGATCTGATGGCCCATGATGTCCCATGACCTCTTCCCCCATGACCTCTGTGGGACTTTCCCTGGTAAAGACCTTCAGAAGCTCATGTGGCAACATGTTGGGTAAACGTGGGGTTTGCCCAGAAAGCAACATGCTGAGGACCAGAAAACAATCCGATTTACAAAATTGTTGCCTTTCGGGCCACTCAACTCATCGTTTTTGGAGCTCATGAGCGATGACTTGAGTGTATATTCAAGACATCATCGTCGGCTTATCCTACGCACCATGCCCGCAACGCATCAGCGCATCATCCACGTAGCGCATCAGCTCAGCATCAACATCATAAAGCATCAGCGTATCATGTACATCATGCACCTAACGCATTAGCGCATCATCCGCATCATGCACAGAGGGCATTGGCTCATCATCATCATCATCATCACCATCATCATCATCATCAGCAGCAGCAGCGGCAGCAGCATCAGCAGCATCAGCGAAGCGGATCATCTCCATCCCACCAGACCATGTTGGATCATCGGAGAGGGTTGCCTTTCGCAAACGCCCACGACAGTGACCCCGATCCATTCGGTCAATCCAATCATGACCAGAGGCCATTCAATCCATTCCGCCTTCAAAGACCGGTTAAGAAAAGGTTAACCTGGTTTTGTGGCGATAAAATCCTTCGTAAAACCATGCTTGTTCGGGATTCAGGCTGTTGATGGTGGATGGCAATTGGATCAATCGATTCGTCTGGTGGCTGGAGTCACTCTGAGCATTTAGCCTCGTCAACAGTTTTTGCGACGGCTGGGCCTCATGAAGACGCCTGTCATCCATGATCTCATGAAGACGCCTGTCATCCATGATCTCAGAGCAGCAAGGCAGCGACATGCATCAAATAAGCAAGCATTGAGATGCTCCCCTGCCTCCTCCTCCTCCCCCTCCTCCTCCTTCATCCCATCAGCCCACCCAGCCAGTTGACCTGAATCAACAACCTCCTTTGGACCAAAGCCAATTCCAGGCCAAACACACGCCCCAAACCTGACGCCCCACTGTTCCCGCCTGGAGAAAGGTCTGGGTGCCATGGACTGGATAGAGGTAGTATGGGAAGTCCATGGTCTCCTCACTCGATCCGCCCCGCACGACGAGAAAGACCGGCACGGTGCCGAGAAAGCGAGGCCATGCGGATGGTTGAATGGGGTGGTCAGTCTGTGGGGAAGGTCGGAAGCGCAGGAGTAGGTACCTAGGGGGCGAAGGTTCAAAGACCACGCAGACGCATCCTTCAGGGCTTCCCAATGGTTCTTCCCCCCAAAAAAAGAGGTCCCCAAGGCCCAATCAACACAAAAGCTGAAAGCAGCTGGTAGGTCTATGGCAGTGTTCGGATGTTCCTGGTAAACCTGTTTCACTCGTCAACGCTGTTTCGGACGTGTTGGACGTCGCAGCAAAAAGCGAGGCGGACCGGTCGAGGCATTGGGGGCCGGCGCAGCAGTTGGAAAGGTACCAACAGAGGTTGAAGGACCCGAACTAGCCTATCCCACAGGTACCCCAGATTGGTCCTATTTACGGTCACTGGCTACCTCTCTTGGTATATACTGGTTTTACCACAGTTTGTCAAGTGAGTGGTGAATGGATACCCCGAATCACCTCTAAAGGGGCTAATCAATAGACACTCCTTAATTTAACTAGATTGTTAATAGGCAAAGGTACTGAATAGTGCACCTGGAGAGTTCTTCTTCACTTTGCATCTTCTTCAATGTTTGGTGTGCCGTTTTGATCGATTTCGGTACTCTTTTTCAGGCCCACTCGATAACCATGAACAACACTGCCCACACCAAATTACAGACTACTTCTTTTGAAATGAGGCCGTAGTCACCATTGCTGAAGATGGCGCCTACGTCCCCTCCTGCCATCCAAAAGAAGAGCGATTGAAGATCAAGCGCGTGCTGAAAGGCTCTCCCTTCGCCAGGGGCCGCGTCACATCCTGACAAAGACGACGAAGGGTCGCGGCCCAAGCCGTTGATGGGTGGGATGAAACGGTCGAACTGTCCGAGCTCGAGAACGAACTGAGAAACCATCCCTTTGGAACTGATCCAATCACCTTCGAACCGATCGAGGGGTGGCAGGGAAGTGGCAGTGAATCCGATCTGAAACCTGAAATACCTAGATCCAGCAGGTCCATCTTGCTTCGAAAAGGCCTCCAACAGCCGGGACACCAGCGCGCAAGGGTTCCGAGTCCTTTCAGATCAGGCGCACGATCGGCGATCGGCGACGTTGCGGGTCGGAAGTGGATGGAAGTGACTCCCTCTCCCATGACTAGAACCACAGAGTTTCACAGGGGTCCAGCACTACACCAAAAAAAGACTTTCCGTTGTGCTGCATACCTCAGTGTCGTTCTTCCTTTCGTGCCCAGGCTAGGAATACCTCTCAGTATGTTGCTGAGCGCATTTGCACTTCCAGGCCCCCCTATGGTCGCTCATCCTGCCCATCCAAGGTTCGTGGTTGGGAAGAAGCAAGCGGAGATCACCCTGGGCATTTTCGATCAGCAAAGCCTGCAAGGATGGTGGAAAGAACTTCTCCAAGAACTGATGATCTGGAAACCATCCACCGAACCTCTTCTGAACCTCTTCTACCTTCAATCAACTCTTCAATCATCGTCCCTTTCTTTTTGGATCAAGCAAAAGGTCCAGCACCGAATTTCACTCCGACTGTTTTAGAAAGCAATTCCCCCCCCCGAATGCTGCAGGCTAAAGGCTGGCGTTCAGGAATCTTTTCAGCTGAGTTCTATCCCTGTTTGATCCCTATATTCTTCTTGATCCACAAAAAAGATCAAAAAGTACTAATGCCTCCCTGTAGCAACTGCCTGGCCCTGAAGTCTAGTTCGGTGCTGGCGTTGTGAAGCTGTGCCAATGCCGAGCTAAATTTCTCTCTTCAGAGTCCAGAATCCGAAGAGCCTGGACTTTGGTAGGATAACACCGACCACCAAGCATGCTTAAGGGAATCCCGCTCTTTGAGCTAACTGCACAGTGCTTCATGGCTGAAGGCTGCAGCTTCGACCACCAACCAGCCTGACCGACCAACCAACCACGCCTGTTCCAAGCCCTCGCGCAGCTTCGCCAGAGCATTGGAGGTCTCTTCCTCCGACTTGACCTGAGAAAACAGACGACTTCGGAGCGTCGTCTTCACAGAAAGAGAGAGAGAGAGAGACACTGTTTATTGCTCTGGAAAAGCCATCCCCTTGCGCTTCTTGGTCATGTCACCAACTTGAGTAGAGTTGGCAGATCCAAACCCTCCAGTTCCCTACCTCAATGAAGTCCAAGTCACAAAATCCACCTCCAACCACATCTCAAGAAGCCCCCCCTCCAATGCGCACCTCCCACCCTCGCTGCGAAACTCGCTCGTCTTAGTGCACAAGCGACGAACCAGCCGCCCGCATCCTTCACCTCCAACGAGCCCTCCTTCGGCAAGAGCGTCAGCTTCAAGCGCGGAAGCTCCACGCACACCTCGGACGCCGGACGGACGCATCGCCAGGCGGCTCGCACATGGAGCCAAAAAAGAGGGACAAGTTGAGTGGTTGATTTGCCTGAGTTGTTTACAAACCGCAAAACCTCAGACCTGCATCCAGACTCCCTCCCCAGTTTCAGCAAGCTGTCAGACCTGGGTCTGCGACTTCTCCGGGGGTCTGCGACTTCTCAGAGGGCCAAGCGACTTCGAGAGAAATGATTTGGTGACGTCCAGGGAAAAACCCTCAAGAAGTGTCATGCTGAAAGAAAATCACACACCCTTGGGAACAAGTTGGCACAGGAAATTGAACTACCTGGAAATCCAGTCCCAACCAGAAAGAAGCCTGGAGGTCTTCCCAGTCACAACCACTTGTTCTATATGTAAAGGATCTCTAGAAATCCATTTTGGAACAATCATTTGTTTCTGGTTTGGACTGGGTTTCCAAGTATGGATCCTGTTGGAGTGGAATGTTGCTCAGAGACGTCAAGCTGTGGAAGATCATCCCTGGTGAAATCCAACGTGTTCCTTGACAGTCATGCACAACCCTGTGAGCAAGTGCTTTAATTTACAGTAGATACCAAAATTTAGACCAATTCAAAGCCCATCTTCAGAAAGTATGTTCATCCCAAATATCATACTCCAGGAAAGGAGGGCACCTGCAATCAGTTCTCAGACACAGCTATATAGATGTCCCAATACAACTGTTTAAGAGACGCCGCGGAGCAGTTCCTTTCAAAATGTCAAATGTCCTCAATTCATTCGGTGTGTTTTGCTGATGAATAGTCACACACACACACACAAGAGCCACATGCAACATTTACTACGCCAATGCTTTGCCCTTCACTAAGATCATTTGGTTCCCCCTGATGATTTTCTTCCCATACACACGAGTTGACGAACATTGACATGAAAAACAACAAAAAACCATGGACCGTGATGACCTGAGTAATGGACCCTGCACAAGAAAGACGACAACAATCCTTCCACCCACAGCTCCACAGCTCCACAGGGTCCACCTCCTTACCGTTGCCTTCGGTGCTTCGCCATGCTTCTCACGTCTACGGCGACTCGAAACGAGTCCGAGTCATCTACGGAGCCTAGCAGGGTGGCCGAACCGAAGCCGCGGATCCCGCGTTTTGGGTGATCGTTTTGGGATGGAAGAGAGCGGATTCTTGGGATGGAAGCCAGAGATATGTTATAACATAACCTATTAGAATCATCTGCACCTAAAAATGATTCAGCATCATATAACTTTGGATCCATTCCCGCATTCTTTGCTCAGCACTCATATAGCCGGACCCTCTTACCGGACCCAGATTCAAGCGGCGAGCTCGCCTGACTCACCTGGCAGCGGCGAAATGGATCAGGAACAGACCGCCCACAGCGACCAATGAGGTGGTAGAGGTTGTTTCATCCATCACAAGGGGATTACTTTTGTGGCATAACCCTCCCAAAGGTTAACCGTGTAAGTTCCAACTAGATGTTCCTCATCGACTCTCATCGACTCAGCCGTGGTTCTGAAACCGAAGTGGGCAGAGAAGAGCTCACATGCATCAAACTGCCCACAGAGCGAGCCGCGTCTCTCTTTCCTTTTGAGCCCCTTCGAAGCTATCGAAGCGCAGTAGCCACGAGCCATCGAAACCGAATTCCACAGATTGGATCTTCCAATCTCCACCACTCAGCCTTAGCGCTGACCAACGCACGCGGCGCACGCAAAGCAGACTCCAGTGGAGCGACGTTAGTTTGATAGGCACGGCTAGCCAAAAACGATTGGGACCAAAAACCTTAAATAAACTTCGAGGGGAGTCGATTGCCCTTCCTCCAAAATGGTCCATCCCCGCCACTCAATGTCTTGGTGGCTCGGTGCCAAGCCTCAAAGTCACTAATCGATCGGCATCCCTGCCTGCCTGGTTGTGGTCACTGCATCTGTGCCCCTACCAACGCAACGTCTTCGAACAAACCGCCAACATCCCCATACTGCTTCAGGCCCTCAACAGAACTGTGCCACTCAAGAACGCACCACCTGAGCCCGAAAACAAACTTTGCCCACCAGCCAGGGGAGAACGAATCAATTTCAAAGAAATGCAAGCTCTACTCAGGGCCCGAAAATGCCCCCTCACCTGGTGAGCAATCTCTACTCCTCCAAGCCCACGGGGCCCCGTGTTCCGTAGGGGGGAGGACTTCCGGACCCTGTGGCCATCGCCATCGCATCGGCCCCAGGCGCTGCAAGAGTCGTTCCCCTAAGCGGCGCGGCAGCCGGTCGCAGCGCCAGCGAGGCTTCAGGCCATCGCGGAAGGAGACGAACCAGGCGCCCTCGTGGGACACGCTCATGGTGTCCACCTGCCGTCCGGTGTCGGTGTGAAAAAAGGCCGTTTCGGTGAGCCTTGCTGAGCCGGAGTTCCATCGGTCAGCCTTGGATCCGGCTCTGCAAGAAACATAAAGGGCCAAGTTTACTGGGTTCTTGAGTCCTTGGGGCTAAGTGGATGCTTCAGAAGTCGCCCCCCAACTGCTGCTGTCGGTGCCAACCGGGGGGGGCGCCAGACTTTGAAACACACCGAGGAAAGTTCAAGGCCTCTCCCACATAGGAAGCAGCTGATCATTTGGTCGCATTAGGATGAGAGAGAGAGAGAGACTTGCAACATCTTGCAATCATGGTTGCCGTCTAAGAACCCCCTCAACAAGTGGACTGCTGTGTTCTCTGCTGCATCTTTCACCCTATTCGGCATCATGTCCCGCGTGTCCCGCGGGTTCCTGTGACAGCCGCTCCCGGTTCTGCGTGAGGAAGCACCGGAGGCTCTCGGGTAAGCCTGGCTCCCAACACCGCGGACGCGGAGTGCTTGGTGGAGGCCATCGCGTATACGTCGTGGGTTGGAGGCCATCGCTATTTCTGAACAAGAAGCTACCAGTAACAAAGAAGAAACAAGCCTCCCTGGAATGATCTTGAAAGTGAATGGCCCCCGAAAGGATCACCATTTCTCGACAAAGAGTTGCTGCCATCCACTTCCGCAGGAAGTGTATTGGTCGGTCATGTACCCCTCCTTTCAGGATCCGCAGACTCGTGCCCTGCCCTGCCCGCAGCGGAAACGAACTGCGGAAAAGGAACGGTTATGGGCCCATCCACCACTCTCGAAGAGCACAAAGTAGCCACGGTCCGGTGCGATGCAGACCTCGTGGCTCCGGGGGGCTGCGTCCGGGCGATCCTGTGAACCAACTCACTCGGAACCAAAGCACGTGATCCTGTCGGCAGGCAGACCTGCTCCTGCTTTACGAGACGCTGGGAGCGAGTTCGGCTGAAACATGATCTTCGAATCGTCCGTCGACCCCCCAAACACGAGGTCATATTGGATCGGGTCGCGGGAGGTGAGATTGGATCGCGTCTGGCTTCGGGTCGCCCACCATTGATTCAATAGCCTGAATCCCGAACAACCATTGTTGTACTAAGGGTTCTACACTGCAAAACCAGGGCAACACATGTTTTTATTAGTGGTCTTGGAAGGCTAGGGGAATGTTGTGTTTTGAGCATTTGACATTTGGCTCAACCAGTCGCCACCTGCTCATACCTAGAAGGAACATGCACTTGTTCACTGCTTCAGTTCCTGAAGCTTGGGAATATCCATGAATATCCAACTAATCCAGTAAACAACATCCTGTTGCGTTGTGTGACCGGTGTAAAAGGTCATGCTTGAGGGATGCGTCTTCTGATCGCCTCCGAACAGTCGTGAGCGTCGAACACGACACCCTTCATCGGAGTCGAGACACCCTTCACGAGTCACCCAGACAGTGTCCAGAGAATCTCTTCATCCCTAGGGCTCCAACCATATCCTCAGAAGGTGGTTAGACCCCCCAAACCCACCCCAAGCATCTTCTCAGGAGGTGTTTGGAGCCTTAGGGCATCTCGTCCCCTTAGAAGGCCCTGGCACATAGGAGACACGGTGCTCCCGCTGTTCTTGCTCCTTGATCTGCTGAGACAGCTCCTTAGTTCCGAAAGCAAGAAGCCCATGAAGAGCCCATGTTCCACGCTCCAGTCGCTTCTTATTGGTCGATGCGAGAGGTCTCAGGGTGAACACCGGGTGCTACCCACGTGCCACTGGATGGTTTTGGCGAACGACCCAGGTTGTACTGGTACTCCAACTGGGGTCCCAATGGAGGGTCCACTGCAAGTCTTTGGGTCTGGGAAGTTCATGTTCCATGCGCAAGCGCAATGGCCTAATCTGGCAGATGTGAAAGTCCGATGCTTGGAAAACAATGGACCCTCTAGTTTGCCACATGGAACATCTTGACCAGGTACATGCCTGAGAGTTAAAATAGTAAAACACAAATCCCTCCATTAGCGGCACAAACCCAACGCGTGCGCGCAGAGGTCTGGACGAAGGATGCACATGGTCCTGGTGTACCATCATGTACCATCACAGGAACACCTTGATGTTGGGGAGAGTCGACCGGGACTGGAATATATGCCCACCCTGGCCTTTTCTCGGTCGGCATTCCCAGACAGGTCATATCTGGGAAGTGGGGGACGGGAGAGCGCGGTCAAGGAGCAGACCACAGGGACCAGCAGGTGTCGCCATTCACGAAGCCTCGGGTGGACATCATGACCGGCGTCGCGTCTGCCGCGGCCGGCGGCTGTTTTCGCGGAGATGGGGAGGTCTGCTGTTCTTCTCTGGTTCTGTTTTCGGATTCCAAGGTTTGGTTGATCAGAGTAGGCCTCCATCGACCCAAGGCAACCCTAGCTATTGAGTGCCATTTCCTGCAATCATCTGCTCCCCTCCGAGCCGTGCACGCTGGCGGAGGTCGGATTACGGCACCCCACCTTCCTCTGCCAGAGGAAGAAGGCTCAACCCATCATTTGCAAGCCCATGCAAGCCCTAAGGTCCTTCAATTTGAGAGATACGCCGATAGCCATCTGAGTAGGATCTCCGGCTCGACTTGACTTGCAAAGAATGGGATGATATGGGATGTACGGGCCAAAGCCCTCAGGCCGGAACACCAGCCTGCCCACCTCGCGCTCACGTCGTACACGTCGATCGACGTCGAATCCGGATGCTTCGAAAAATGCGTTTTCAGACCTAGTGGTCAGAGTTGCGTTCCACATGGTTGCGGGGATCCTGGGCATCTGCTACCACAAGACGGAACCTGTTTTGGCGTACTGTCCGGACCGTCTGCCCATCCAATCCATTCCGGACCGGGAACCACCGGACGTCGCCGTGCGGACCGGTGCCACCGAGTCCTGTTCCACGTGTGTCCAACTCGGTGGCGCCCCCGAGCACCGCTCCTCACGTGCTCCGGTGCCACCGAGTCCTGTTTCCCTCGTGTTGTAGATGCACCGAACGCGAACGCGGAGCGCAGGAAGTACTGCTTCTCCGGCCCCAGGGCGGCATAGACCACCTTGGCGTTGTGTTTTTTCATCGCAGCCGGCCGGCCGGGCCATTTCCGGAAAAGAGCAAAAGCGACCGGATGGGTTTTGCGGTGCGAGGTGATGGTTGAAGCCAGTTGAAGCCAAAGGTTCCCAAGCTGCCAGAGATGGTGAGGTAGTCTATAAACCACCCTGAACCAACCACACAAATATGTTGGAACAAAATGCTCGGAACCTAAGTCGAACTTAGAAGCATGATATCGGTCGAACTGGGATGCTGCTGGAAGGGCTGAAGCCCGGCGATGAACAACGGCTTCCACCGGAAGGCTGCCGGAAGCAGAGAAGGCTGGACGTGGGGTGAAACATCCGTTGAATATAGAATGTGGATGAATCAAACCCGCGGTCCAATTGTAAGACCTCTGCATACCTGGATATAGATCTCCGACTATGCAAAACGTCTGCCTTTCCATCTATTATACTATAAACCAGCGAACAGGCATACAGTGCTGCATAGTTGGAAATAGGAATGTGGGGTGTTTGATTCATCATTTATTCCACATCAACAGAAACACATCAACCGCTTGGGTCCAGGTTGGCTCTTTCCGGACCTGAGACCTTGCTGGGCTGGCCGGACCGAGAGGACAACGCGCAGGTCCACAGCCCTGCCAAACCCTCGCTTCGCCGCTTCGTCTACGTCAAAGAGTCACCTTCACAGAGGGCATGATAGGGAGTAGCAATCGTTCAAACAAATCGTCAAAAGGAACGAACCGAACACAGGGCGGAAAAACGACCTCCATTATGAGGAAACAAAACCAAAACCATGCGCATTCTGGAACCCTACAGGAGGTGTTTTCTGTTTCTGGTGCTAACAGGTGGCCCGAAACGGGTACGAACGTTCCATCAACTGTTGCCGACATGTCAGCGTCCACGAACTGGTTAAACCAAGAATGGACAAACGAAATTGCATGCCCGAAATGAAAAGTGTCAATTACACGGTCTTTACTAATTCATAAATACTTGCCGTTACAATGGTGTTCTGAAGGAAGAACCAGAATTCATGTTATGATGTTGATGGTGTTTGGTAAATGAGTCAATTATATAGTGCATTTCTTCTCTGTCTGTGTTTCTGAGCTCCCAAGCTGACTGATCCTCGCTCAAAAGGCCCACCATCTCTTCCGGCAAGTCCCACCAGAGCCTCGGAGAGGTACCGAACTGAACCAGGGTGAAACGACCTGCTTTTGGTTTGAAACAGCCCACGGATGCCCAGAGCAATCCGTATGACCCAGTTCACTGTGTTCAGTGTGACCCAGTCAAACCCAAGCAGGTACGAGTATGTTTTGTATGACCAACTCGTAACATGAGGTCAGTTCCTGACCCGAAAAAAGGGAATGATTGGGACTTCACTGAAGGGCTTGGGTCAGCGCATTCGCTGAGATGGGGGAACGTCTGAGCCCAGTGTGACGCAAAAAATCCTGGAATTGCTTTGATTTGGAAAGGACCATGTTTTGGAACGGTTGGTGTTCTGGAGGCAGAATGAGGTATCAGGAGCTATATATTATAGAAAATGAAGCTGGTGGTTGTAAATTGCGTTGTCAGTCCATTTATCTTCCCATCTCTGTTGGCCTTGGCCACCAGACGAACATACCGGAAGCATATATGGTGTGACCGAATGGAGAGGGTCTTCCATTGGTGACCGGTGTCGGTGTGACCTCCTGAATCGGAGGTTCACTCACTTATCGTGTGGGCCGAAGAATGGCACCATGGCCCATGGCACGCCGTCTTGGGTCGCTCCCCAAGAGCGAGCGTTGCATGGAGCGTGGCCGCCTGTTTGGGGTGGTTTTTGGGCCACCCCCTTAACCTCTAAGGAGCTATAATTAGACACCCCATGGCCCGGGGGCCCTGGTATAGGCACCTTCGAAGAGCACCCAACTCTTCAGGGTGGCACCGGCCTACTCTTAGTTGCCCTACTCTTGTTTTTGAGCACTGCTGAGTCGACTGGAAGCAAACTGGATTGCGGGACAACGCCCCATGTCTTGGCACACAACCCATGTCTTGGCCCCACCTGTCTCTAGGACGCCGGAAACCCCTACAACGTAAAAGATTGCTGTTGTTCGACTGCACGCGCTCCACTACGTGCCTGTTCTTCTTGCATGTGTGTCCTTCTTCATTCTTTTCCCACAACAGGAAGAATTTGTGCTGTCTCAGCACGGCGCCAGTGACTTGAATTGTCCTTGCAATTGTTCCCTGATTTTGAGGGGTACGGCGGTATGACCCATGAATGTGATCCATGTATTGCTTCCCTGCTGTAATGTAAAAACAACTTCACGCCAAGCAGCAGCAGATCTGGTTGCCGGATCAAATAACTTCCAGTGCCCAAAAGCGCGAAGCTTTCCTTGGGACTTCGCTGAAGCTTGGCTTAGGCTGGCTCAGCATGTCTGTCGAGGGCGCTTACTTAGTATGTCTGCCAGGTCTGCGGAACTGCGAGTGACACTTCCGCAAAATTGACCCCGAAGACGATGACGAGACAATGACATGGTCCCTGAAAACCACTGGTGCAGCTAAAGGAAAACAGCCTGAAAGAGGGTGCCATTCTCAGTGTCCATGTTAGTTTTTGGGCGTGTAAGCTTTGAAGGTGTTTAAAATTTGCCAAGCAGCATGCCAAACACTTCGATCCACTGGTTGTGGTTGGGGGTTGCTTTCAGCACTTGCTCCAAAGTAAGATCACTGTTTGGCAACAACTTCGATACCACCTTCGCCAAAGTTAAAGCCCCAATCCCAAAGGTGCGCTGGTCCGATTCTGAACACCTAGTCTTGCTGTAGACCAAAATCCAATGATTCTTCCAATGAATCTGCCTTTCTTGAGATCCTGTATATACCAGGCTCATCCAATGGGTGTCCAATAGACTACCTTACCCTACTTACAGGTCTCCATTGGGCACCCGTTGGAAGTGCTAGGTAGGAAGTGCCTGGGACCCGGAGAGTTCCAATCCGAGCGGCTCGTTGGTTCCAAGTTCTTAAGAGCTCCTTCTGCTTTCGCGCGTCCGGCAGGAAGACACTGATGCCCCTCCTGAACAAACGGACCAAGTCGGGCCGCCTTGGTAGTGAACTTCTTGGCAAAAACAGGTAAAAACCATAGTTCTTCGGTCAAGACCATCAAATGAATGGTCGGAATATGTCTGCATGGTGGAATCCTAGGGTTTTTTCGTGCCGCCCCTCTGTTCAAGCATCCATGCAACCCAATGGTCCATCCTCTCTTTTGGCCAAGTCTCCCCACGCTGCGGCCTTCCCAGTAGTCCGCGCCAGCAGGGTCCAATGGATTGGCGAGCAGCCCGTCTTCGGCGGACGTGTGCGCGCTCGAAGCGCGAGCTCGGCCGGAATGGGAAGCTCGTTGAAGGAGGCGACGGCAAAGAGTCAGGAGATACGCCAAGAGAGCCAAGGAGCATCTCAACGCCAGTAAAACCTGGCCAAAACCGCAACTGCTGCCGCTACCGCTGCCCTGTGTTTCTGACTGTTGCAAAGAAGTCTTGACCTTTGCATGGAGTCAAGGAGTTTGGGAATCGGACATCACAAAAAAGTTGGTTTGTTGCCACTTATATATAGTATCGACTATCGATGCTAAGATACAGGGGTACAGGACCCTGCTCGGGATTTTATAGATATCAAATGCCCCCGATTTTTGTATGGGCATATCTTTGCCGGTATCCTGTAGTTTGAAGGTGCCCAGACTGTGGTGCCCACACCCGGAGCATAGTGTGGGTTCACTTCACTCGTGTCGTTCGCTTCTGACTTCTCGAGCCGTTGAAGCTGAAACCGCTTAAAAAACCGCACGGTCCACCTGCAAGTTGCGCAGGGATTCCACGGGGGGGTCGGTAGGGATGAACCACTCGGCCCAAAAGGTTCTATAAAGGTGAGTCCACCTAGCCTCTAAAATGGGTCTGACCAAGCTGAGGGATGCGTATCAAATGGGGACAGCATCGTGACTACAACCATTCACAAACCGTTTTGACTGAGGGATGCTGTGAAACTCGAAGGAAGCTTCACAGGTTTCCATGTGAAACTGGGTGGAAGCTTCACCCAAAGTCTCCAAAGGTCACCAAAGGGAGGTGACCTAAGAACCTGGAGTTCCATGTTGGGGTGCGTCCATTGCAGGGCCGTCCCTGCCCCGCACAATGCAAGCGCCCTGCGGGGGGCATGACATCCACCCACCCCTGCGGTCATTGGCTCGGCTCCTTTTGGGATCCATCAAATACCCAGGTGAATCCAAGCGACCAAATCAACACCGGATTCTCATTCATCCCGCTTGGGGACCCGAACAACGCTCGGCTCCAAAACAGAGGCGAGCGTCTGATGAATGTCCGATCCTTCACTGGTTTGGAATTGCTTGACCATGAAGAGCAATGAACAGAAGAGACATGAAGAGACTATCTTACGGGAGGTCAACCTACACTGGATGAGGGGCCCAGGTTTGGACCATTTCTTCATCTCTTCCTTTCTCACGGCTTTAGGGCTTTCGCGAACGCCGAGGCGCGCCGATGAGGGTCCAGACTTCGGAGGAGGGCGTCGGCTTGGTACACCTCCGCGGAGGGTGATCGGTGGACCATCCGCTCGTCGTGTGTTCGGGACGAGGTCAGGGACGAGGTCAGGGGTCGTGTCTGTAACACTGCCGACACGTCACCCACCGGGGTCCCTGACCCACCCTGACCCACCGGAGTCCGTGACCCACGTTCACCCACTGTTCGTCCGGGTGACCCGGAGGCCGCCCCACGAAGCGCGACGAGAACGCCACGAACGCGGAGCCGAAGCGACGAGCTCTTCGGGTGGTCCGGACCTGTCCGTGCCTTCAACCTGTTCCCCCTTTCGTTCGGGGGGCACGACCACCACCGCCCACCATCCGGTCCTGGGAGACCCACCGCAGGGTCCGCCGCGTCTGGCAGCCCCTTGCGTTGGTCCACCAGGATCCGGGGGGCCTGGAGGGTTCGTCTCACCCCTTTGGGTTGGAAGTTTACCATGGAGCATGGCCACGAGTCTGGAAGACCAACCATTCCCACTACTGGTGGTGAACTCCACGTAACCATGTGAATTCCAGGGCTAGTATATACTTTCAACCATGAAGAAGACAGTTGAAGAACTGCTTCATTCGTCAAACAGCACACTCCATCCAATGCTGCAGCTGTAGCGAAAGGAGTCCAAAAGAAGCTCCATCCCACGACAAACAGGTGGCGTCTCGCTGGTCGAATGGGTCCCGACGCCCCGCCCCCCACCACACAGCGTGCGGTCTCGTGCTTGCCGTCCAACGCGTCTCGTCCGACCGGGCGGCCCGAAGTCCAAGCCATCCGTGAAGCATTGCACCCCTTGCTTCGTGCTCAAGCTCGGCACCAGCACCAGCGCGCACGCTAGACCGCAGGCCAGCGCGCAAGCTGGACGGCAGCACACCTGGCGGTGGCGGGGGTGAGGGGGTGTTGGAGCAAAAACCAGTTGGTGAGAGGATGTGAAATCGCTGTGCGGGGAGAGATTTATCCTGCCTTTGAGACACGCATGAGTCTCATATAATGTTTTCTTGAAAAGTGAGGATCCTTCGAAAGCGGCGGCAGGTGAGGATGAAACGGCCTGGTCGTCGCGAAGGGTTTCAAGGTCAAAACGCCTCGCGTGGAGGGCGGCCCTTTCAGAAGCTGTGAGCGAATTTCTTTGCAGTGCCCGGTGGTGGAGGGAGTTCACCTGCAACACGTCAGGGCTTCTCAGTAGCGAACAAAATTGGAGCTCCAACCATCCATGAGATGTCAGAAACCTGGAAGTGGGGTCAAAGATGGTCTACTTCAGGATTCACGCGCATGCTGCTCCAGGTAGAAAAAGAATGACGCTGTGTTCATCAAACAAGTGTAACAAGAGTCAGGCAGGAGGGTGCCACGTCATATTGTACAATATAGACAGACAATAGACCTGTTGTGAGAAAACCAATCGTCGCAGAACAAAAGTCATGGACAACCTGCAGTCCTTTTGGTTTCGTCATGGCTGGTCAACTATGGGCTGAACCTAGGCATCGGTCGTTGGTTCATTCGGTCGTAGAAACTCTCTCCTGTTCACCGACCTGACATGTACGGCTACATGCCAGGAGCCCCTAGTAGCTTCTTTGCTCCTAGTAGCGATGCCAGGAGCCCCTAGTAGCGTCCTTGTTCCTAGTAGTAAGGCCAGGAGCCCTTAGTAGCTTTTTTGCTCCTAGTAGCGATGCCAGGAGCCCCTAGTAGCTTCCTTGCTCCTAGTAGTAAGGCCAGGAGCCCCTAGTAGCCTCTTTGCTCCTAGTAGCGATGTCAGGAGCCCCTAGAGTGTGCGGCGGTTTTGTTGGCCGCATCAGGCGGCGTTTTCGGAGACCGAACTTCATGCGACGTCGCATCGAAGGAACAGGTTCTTGCAGGGCGGGGGCGTATTCATGGGTTGCAGGCCGCAAGCGATAGAACAGTTTCTTTTGGAAGAACTCGGTGTTCCATCAAAGAGAATGGGTGTTCCATAAGAGTGTTCCATCTATAGTTATGTTGTTATGCCTGCCATGCCTTTGGCGGTGCGTTCCTCAGATGGAGATGTGCATAGCCTCTGCACCCATAAGTTTGAATATGGAAGATGACAAAATTAAACAAAATTTTCCTGAGACAATGAGTCGTGAACAAGGCTCTACCCCCAGACCCCCAGAGTTAAACAAGAACCCTTCGCTACGCATTCGGGAAAAAAAATCCAATATGTTCACAGAGGCTTCAGGTAGCGCCAAGTCAATTCCCCTCGCCACCCCGTCGCCACCCCGTCGCCCGGAGCTCGCGCACAGCGAAAAAAGATCGACTGATCGATATTGGATCAGGCCAGTACCAGGACCCTCCAAGGGGTGCCCAATGGAAGCCTATAGGTAGTGTGGGGTAGTCCATTGGACACCCCGACAGGAGGGTCCTGGTAGACTCCGAACATCCGCGATGTTCGGAACCAAACAGCATACTGGCGACTTCCTGTCGGGGTCACCTGGCTGGACTGCCCACAACTTAATATGTCTCCTGGCTGGACACCGGAAGCGATAGGTACCTGGACCCGACGTCTCGGTCGCCTCCAAAAGGGGACATGACCCGAGCCATAAGCAGAGGAACGAGTTTGAGCAGGAACTCCAGGTATACCTGGATCTCCTAACTAAGCCAATGTTCTGCCGAACTGGGCTGCTTTTTTCAGATGAAAAGGCGGTCTCAGTTGGAAGATCCAGGTATATATACTGTATATATATATATATATATATTAAAGCCTAGACTAGACAACCCCAGTCCAGGACCCACTGTCGGGGTGGTTGGACAGCTCCATCCAAACCTCCCTTTTGGAATCCGGGGGCTATCAATCGAAACCGTTTTAGATAAGAAAAAGTAGACCGTTTTAGATACGAAACCTCGTTTTTATCAATCGAAACCGTTGGTTTTTTGTTGGTGAAGGGTTTTGATGGGATGGGACCCCTGGGACTCCACCGGTTCGCCCATCGGGGTGAGACGAGTCGGGTTGGGGCGACGAGTCCATCGATGACCAGCCGCGGCTGTGGATCAAACCCGGGAGGACCCCTGGTTTTGGCCAAACGTGAGCTGAATGGCCTCGGCTCGGAGTAGGGTGAAGTGGGCTCGACCCGGACCCAGAAATGGACGAGTTCGGTGACCCAAGTCTGGGGACTTTCCTTGACGTGGTTGCCATGTTTCTAGCGGAACTGGAATTCTCTACTAGGACCGTCAGCACTTCCCATGAATGTCCAATGGAGATCGATAAGTGGGCTGGATGATCCAGCCAGGTGACCCAACCAAGCGCAGCTGCTCGACATTTACAATCCAAGGGCCCCCCCCGGCCCTTCAGGGGCGTCTATTTTAGGGCGCCCCGCAGAGAAAGAGGTTTAAGACTTCCGGAGTTCTCCATCGTCTCCATGAACCACCCCGACCGGATCGACCGGATCCACGTGGTGCATTCTCCTCACCGAGTCTCACCGACCGCCGCGCCTGGACTCGGTCGCTCGCCATGGGAAGGACCGCCCCATCCGTTCGCCACCACCGAGCCGAACGGACCGCGTCGCGGAACGGGTGTTCGGTGGCTCCGCCGCGTGTGGGACGGGCGTCTGAAGGTTAGCTGTTGTCGAGATGAGCTGTGAAGGTCGAGACAAGAGGTGTGGCATCACACCTCCAAGAACCTCGGTGTTTGTTTTGCCGCATCTGATGTCACCTAGAAAGAAAGAACGTTGACACACTAGAACAAAGCACAACAGTCCGAACCGCTCTGCCATACTTCTCATTGTCGACACCTGTGGTTTCAGACTGATGATCAGGAGATTAACAATGAAAAGTGCCTCACTCCTCCATCGACTTTCATTTGTGACTCCAACAACTAATCGTGTCCAAAACGTGTTTCAAGAAGATTGGACATCGACCTATGCGATCTATGGCGATCCTATGGATGTCACCTGGATGTCACCTGAGCTTCTCTTACTTGGGCCGTCTCTTGGGATTCGCTTCTCCTTGAACTCCAGCACTGGCGCGGCACCCGCATGCGAGAAACATGTGGATCTGGGTGTTTTTGGTTTGTTTTTGGAAGGATCTGGGTCAGAAGGGCGACCAGGGTGACCAGGGTGACCGCAACACAGGTTGAACCACCAAGGAGTTGGCACGGACCGTTCGGTGAAAATTCTATCACGCGGACCGACCCGGACCGTTTCTGGCCTAACACGGACTGATCCCTATAAACGTTTGAGGTCACTTGGCCTGGTTTCGGTCATGGAACTCCATTTGGAAGTCACGGTTCGGTAGAGGTCCTGCGCCCTGGGCGGAGCACCAAAGGTCCAGAAGTCAGCGTCGCCGAACTCGAGTTGAAGACCATATATGGTTTAAATGGCCTTCAACTCTCAGGGCAAATCAAAAAAAGGAGTATTTCAAGTCAGGGCTCTTTCCCGACTAGGAGGGCCGAAAAAAAGGACAGCAGGCCAACGGCGACTTCTTCATGCAAAGGAAGCCTGAGGGGAGGCCCAACCGAGCCCGAGCCCCTCAAGCATCCAAAAAGAACGTTCACCTTCCCTTCTCAGGTTTTCGGCCCAATTGGTCCAACCGCACTTCGCACTTCGACCGGAAGAAGCAGGTGGGAAGCCCGACGCACGCCGGCTCGGACGGACTCGGAGCGCTAGACTGCCAGGCGAACCGAACCGGAGACCGAACCGGACCGGACCCCCCAAGGTTCGGTTCGGACATGGAAGGACTAGTCTACTCATTGGTTGGAGGTCTCCAACACTGGAAGACACACACCTCTAACTGAACCCGTGTGACTCAGTCGAGCTTGTTCTTCCCATGCGCTGCCTGCCCAAGCAAGCACATGCGAGAGGTCCTGCGAGCGCCAGTGACTGGCGCTATCACAAGAGAACGCTCCAGCAAATCAGAACCAGCTGGTGCCTCTTAGAACTGTTGGTATCGCAAAAAGTTTACTCTTCCCAACAACAGAGGAAAGGAATCAATCGTCTGTGCCTGGCAGGTGCTTGGATTGTTTGGAAGAACGTACATCCGTCCATGGATTGCAAGCTATCTATAATCTCCCTCAACTGTAAGAACATCCTGCCGTTTCTGCGAAAGTTTGTGTCCTTTCGACTTCTTTCAGTCTAGGAATTCGATGAAGCTGGCTCAACACAACTCGGGTCACCCAGACAGTCAAGCGCAGCTCCTGTAGAACGGGTGAAGTATCAAAAAAAGTTATTTACCGCATCAAAAAAATACTATTCGAGGGGGTCAATCAAAAAGTAATTACTTAATCAAAAAAACTATTCTGCCACGAGCTCTCTGGGATAGAGCGGGCTTCTTATTAGTACCTAGCTAATTACAGCAATTGCGTGTCCTTTGCAGAGACACAGGTGTCGTAGCTGGCCCAATACATTAGAATAGTGCAGGTTTCATATTAGTTGCTAGTTGATTAGACTAATTCGGGAGCTGTCGTAGCTGGCAAAATACATTGGAATAGTGTAGGTGTGAGAGAAATTCCTACCTATCACAATAGTTTGGTGCAGTTAGCAGAGAAACAGCAAAGAGAAAGAGAACTAGCACAGGAGGCGTATTTGGTTGGTTAGAAGTTTTGCACCGGGGAGTTCACCTTAAAATATTGATTTCGTGGCAGGCGCGGGTGTCGGAGATGAAGTGCAGATTTGGTGGCGCGGGGGGGGGGGGGGGGGGCGCAGCCCCCCCACCAGCAGCACACCAGATCCAAAGGTGAGCAGCTCGTGCTTGCTTGCTTGCTTGCTTGCTTGCTTTCTTGTTTGGTTTCTTCTCTGCAAAGCGGTTTCTTCTCTGCAAAGCAAACAAATGGAAAAAACAAAAAGAGAAAGGAGAACAGCTGCCAAAGCAGAAAAGCAACAAAAGCAAAGAGCAGAAAGACAAAAACACAAAAAGCAGAAAAGCAACAAAAGCAACAAAAGCAGCAAAAGCAGCAGAAGCAGAAAAGCAACAAAAGCAAAAAAACAAAACGCAGAAGCAGAAAAGCAACAAAAGCAAAAAACATCAAAATCAGAATCAAACAAAAACAAAAACAATCCAGAAAAATATTAACAACGCACCTCCATTAACCTTTTGTTTATTGTTGTTTAATTCTATTCTTCATTTTCCTTGTGGTCCTTCCTTTGTTACGTTGTTTCTTCGGCTGCCTTGCTTCCATCCTTCCTGCCTTCCTCACTTCCTACCTTGATCCCTTCTTTCCTTCCTTCCCTTCCCTTCGACCAGGGGACCAGGGACCAAGGGGACCAGGGGACCAAGGGGACCAGGGGACCAAGGGGACCAGGACGACCATGTGGACCAGGAGCAAGCATACAAGAGACGGGAAAGGAAAATACCTATTTTCTGATTAGTTAATTAATTTGTTTTTGATTACGTAATTAATGTTTTTTTGATTCAGTAATTTCCTTTTTGATACACATGCCCTGTAGAACTGCATGACAAAATCAACAGGCAGCCCGAGAGCCAGGCTGGCAAACAAACAGGTCTTTTCTTAGTACGTCAAGGTCCTTTATGTCAGGTCATCTTGAACAAGGATGTCCTTGGGGGAATATATAATTGAGGTACCATATACACAATGATTATCCCCTCCATTAATCAAGCAACCAATAGTAAAAGGCAATCTATAAGTTGCATGTGTCAGGTTATCTTGAACAAGAATGTCCTTTTGGGAATAAAAGGTCAGTTTGGTACCAATATATATACCCGATGGTGATACACGTTGTGGTCTCCCCCTCTAAGAAAACCAAGCAACCAATTGGAAAAGGCTTGTCTCATCATGAGAATGACATGAATGCGTGTCTCGTCATGCTCATCCAGTTCTGGCCCCGTCTAACACGAAAGCGAGGGGCCTCAATGCGGAGGAGCAGCTGGCAAAGAGAGGCCAACTGGCTGCCTCGGGCGGATCGAGCGGATCATCCAACGCATGTCATGTCTGAGATAGGTTGACTCTGAGGTAGGAACTGAGACACTCGAGATCTCGCAACCGTCTCTGGCCCCTCCCCTCCCTCCGCTGTTTTGTTGCTCCCGCCTTCTTCCGCAGCGAAGAGGTCCAACAGCAGCAGATTGGGGCCATCCACCTCTGCGTTCGCCTGACTGATTCGACCGTCGACCGCCGAATCAGTCAGAGGACGGCTTAAACCTCCGTCGCACGAAGAAGGCTTGCTTCACTAGAGCCTGGCACGCATCACTGGACGCCCCAGTGTCCGAATCGAGATCGCTACGAGTCCGTCCCCCCCGAAAACGGGCGGGAAGTGCTCCGGATTTGCCAGGTTGAATCACCTCGGCGCCGATGGCGCCCAAACGCACCGTGAACGTGAACGGAGTGGCCATCCCGAGCCGGGAAGCGCTACTGAAGCGCCAAAAACGACATGTCATCCGAGTCGTTCCAGCTCGTGAAACGCTCTTTGCTGGCTGTTGGCCTAAGTCAGACGGCCACTGGGTGCTGGCAGGTTACAGGAGCTGACAAATCTGATGAGCCTAAACTTATAAACTACATGTTGTGCGACCCTCCCCATGAACACTGGAAGGACCCCGAAAAAACAAAACAATGTTACCTGAATCCAAGATACCTCTCTAGTGGGCCGTTTGGAAAAACACCAAAAAGCCAGAACACCATGTCAACCAGTCAGATTGACCTTACCCTTTGGTCAGCTTGTATTTTAATCCATCATCCATCTATGAAAATACTTTGTCCATGCCCAGACGTCCATCCATATCCATCTTGAAGCCCTCGTACCTGTCCCCCATCCCACCCAAGCAATCGCTTCCAAAACATCTCATATGGAGATCTCATCCAGGTTCGGAGGTGGGTGCGTCGAGTGGCCATCCAGGTGTCAAACAACTCCCCAAAAGAACTTCACGCCTCGAGCCTCCCCTTTCTTCCACCGCGCCAGGTCACCCCCCGCGGTGGCGGCCTCGTCACGGGGCGGCTCGCCCGCTGCAACACGTGGAGCCTCGTCACACTCCATCGCCTGCCGCAGCGCTGCGCTCGGCCGTTGGAATCGAAACGGAAGAGTCCCCTGTGAAACCTTTCGATTCACGGCAGAGTCTGCATCCCTAAGATGGAAGAATAAGACCTGCCAGCAGGAAGAGCAACAAGAACAGCAGCGAACAAGACAAAGAGAACAACACAAATCCTCCCAGAGGAATACAACATGGGGGACAGCACTTTAGATGTCAATGACGATGAAAAAAAGACCGCTTCACAAAGTCACCACTCAACGAGCTCAACTTTTTTGTGGTGCCGCAGCTGTGCTGGAGATCACTTCCTGAACTTGGATTTGTTGTTGCTGTTAACAAAGCAGGAACACATGCAAACCATGCAAACCATGCCAAGAAAGTCACAAAGGTCACCCAGGTGTTCAAGCACCCTTTCTCCGCCTTTCTCCACCCAATCGGTGAAAGCACCAGGGCGAACACCCGGTTCGCGGCCTCCGACTGCAGCAAGGCCTCCTGGAGCTGGGCATCTTCATCCACTGCCATGGCTGCATCCTGATGGGCAT